GAACAGTTAGCAAGAAGCCTGCCACGGCCATACAGTTTGTAAGGAATATAAGTCTCTGTGTTTACTTGGTTGGGTCTGAGTGGCCGTGGGACTGGCGGGTGACAGAGATTTGTCCTGACTGTGGGCAAGGCAGGAAAACTCTAGCTACAGAGATCCACCTGCCTCTGCCTTCCAAGGGTAAGGATTAAAGGCATGAGCCACCACTCACCACTTATTTTATTTTATAATATATTATCTTTTTAATCATTGTGTGTGTGTGTGAGTGCACACACACACTTGTATGTGTGAATGTCACTTATGTGTGCTTAGGTGCTTTAGTATATGGTGGAAGCGAGAGGGCAACCTTGGGCGTCTGTCTGTCTGTTTTACATTAACTGAGGCAGGGTCTCCTGGTTTCTTCCTGCTGCGGACACCAGGCTAGGTCCTCTCTTTCAGCCGTTTCCTGTCTCTGTCTCCCATTTGGCTGTAGGAGCGGTGTGTTTACAGACACATGTCCCGCTTCATGTGGGTTCTAGGGACTAGAACTCAGGTCCTGACGCTTGTGCTACAAACACTTTATGCACTAAGCCATCTCCTCACCCTTCATTTTACTGTTGAGACACAGGTGAGCCTCAAACTCTCCATCCTCCTGCCTCAGGCTCCTGAGTGCTAGGATTTCAGGTTTACATCACCAGACCTGTCTCTTCTCCAGTATGTTTTCTTTTTAAAAAATCTTCATCTCATGTGCATTGGTATTTGCCTGCATGAATGTCTGTGAGGGTGTCAGGTCCCCTGGAAATGGAGTTACAGACTGCTGTGAATAACAGTTATGAGCTGCCATGTGGGTGCTGGGAATTGAACCTGGGTCCTCTGGAAGGGCAGCCAGTGCTTTTAACCACTGAGCCATCTCTCCAGCACCCTCTCCAGTATATCTTCAATAATCCTCCAAATAATAATAATAATAATTTAAAAGTAAATGAGTTGTAAGCAAGAATCCCTGCCTTATAGTCTCTCCCTGTATTCTCCCATCCAAGCACTAGCCAGGCCCAGACCCTTCTTAGATTACAGGATCAAGTGAGATCACTCACGTTCAGGGTGGTATGGCCATATTCCCTGTATTCTCAATGTGAACTTCGGCTTGCTTTCTATGGTGGGTTGTCTCCAGCTATTTCTAGAAGTTTCTATACGTTCCAACTTTGGAGCTGGAGAGCCAAGCATCACCCAAGCATTTGGGGGATGCCTGCAGTTTACCAGTTGGGGATGATGGTCCAGGGCGTGTCTGACGGCCCAGTTGTCTCATTCAGCGCACTCACACACCGCCATCCATGCCATACCTGGCTCCTAACGACCCCTCTGCCCCTGCACACACCCCCGACCTCCAGTCAGGATTAGAGGGCCAGTCACACCCTCCGGAAGTGGGATGAATTACAGGGGTCTGTGCAGAAATTAAGTCATCTTAAAAACACAGGCTACTATTCACTATGTAAAATAAATAAACTGCGCACATCTCAAGGGCCACTATTTTCCTTTGTGGGGAATAGGAAAAACTGAGTAAGTAGGGAAGTCCCCCAGCCCTGGGAGGGCA